CCGAGTCGAAGGCAGAGGCTTTACTGGGCCACTAGGGTGCCCCTCATCGGTCTTATATAACACCCCGTGCTCATCACATCCCATGCCCTCCTTAATACCTATCACCCAGTTAGCCCATTCCTTACCCCCCTCCCCTCTAGCAACCCTCAGTTTGTTTCCTATAATTAAGAGTCTCTCATGGTTTTTCTCCCTCTCTGAGGACCTCCCATTCAGTTTTTGGACTGATGATTTTAAATTATTGTCCCTTTGGTTTGAACAAACTTCTGTCGATACAGTACATCCCTCATTGTTCCAGCTTGGGTTTTTGTTTGACATTTTAGGTTTGCAAATTATTATATATGGTTCAGCTAAAGAGAAAACACAGATGTATGCATATTTATATACTACACGAGAGTGAGAAGGCAGGGGTAGCAAAATGGTCATAAATAGAATTTATGCAGAAGGTTTGCAGATGTTCAATACAGCATTCTCTTAAATCTTTTGTGTGAAAATATTCAAAATAATACGTTCCAGACCCTGGCTGCTAGGATATATCTCTCAATCTCTAAAACTCCTCTGGGTTGCTGGGTCCTTAAGCTCTCATTTGCTGTTCTGCTTTGTCTTTGGTTTTTGTTGTTCCTGTTATTGTCATTTTGGATTTTTTTTCCACCTTTGCTTTTGTTCTGTTTTGTTTTGATTCTAGCACCAGATGGTGGCTCTCTCCTTTGAGCTTTGCTTCTTATCATTTATTGTCATTTATTCCTCTCCATGGCAGGACATAGGTTTTCTGGGTCAGCTCAGTCCCGTGTTTCTATTCATTAGCTTTGTCTTCAGCTTTCCCCCTTTGGTGTGACTAGAATATTCTCTTGAATAATGTTTTCAGAAAGGTTCATGTGCTCTTTTTGTGCTTGTCTAAAATATTCTTTTACCTCTCCAGTGAGAATTATGGATCTAGAATTCTGGCATCAAATTTTTTTTTTCCCTTCACACTTGACTTTAGTGTCTGAGTATTGAGTGTCCTTGATAAAAAGTCCTCTGTTAGCGTAATTCTTTTTCCTCTGTCTTCTGTGTAGAAATCTGGTCCTTTTTTTTTTTTAATCTTCTGTCTAGAATATTACAGGATTTTTTTTTTTATCTTCGGAATTTAGAAGATTCATTAGGTTGTATCAAATACCAAGGAGTTTTGGGGTTAATACTGATATTCGGCATCACAGGGTCCTTTGCATTGTAGAGTCAAGTCTTTTTTTCACTTCAGGGATCTTTTTTCCTACTACATACTAACATATATTCTATCACATTCTACCAATAATCCAAGGAAGCTAACTGTAAGAATAATGATAAAATAAAGCAGAAAGTTTGGTCAGAACCTTAGAAAGTGAATGTATCTGGTAAGGGCCAGCATAGTAGCCCTGGGTGAATCTAGAATTTGGCTCTGAGCTTTCTGGTTGGTAAAGAAATCATTAGTATCCAAATTGACTGTGTTCTTCTTTTGCAAGCAGTTGAAAAAAAATTAACTACTTTTAATTTATAGAAGGAATACATAATATTGTTAAAAAAAAAATAAAAAAAGAGGGCTGCCTGGGTGGCTCAGTCGGTTAAGCTTAGGTTGTGAACCCAGGGTCCTGGGATCGAGCCTCGCGTCGGGCCCCATGCTTGGCAGGGAGCCTTCTTCTCCCTCTCCCTCAGCCTGCCATTCCCTCTGCTTGTATTCTCTCTCTCTCTCTCTCTCTCTCTCTCTCTCCCTGTGTCAAATAAATAAACAGAATCTTTTTTTTTTTTTAAAGAGACCTGAAATTTTGCCAACCAACCATGATGAACCTTTGTTGATATTTTACTGTTTATCCTCTCAGATTGTGACTATTTGAGTGTGATTGTGTTTGTGCATGAGGGAGAGAGAGACACACGGAGAGAGAGATTGATGTTACATACTGTTCTCAAACCTATTTTTTTTTTAAAGATTTTATTCATTTATTTGACACAGAGAGAGATCACAAGTAGGCAGAGAGGCAGGCAGAGAGAGAGGAGGAAGCAGGCTCCCCGCCGAGCAGAGAGCCCGATGCGGGGCTTGATCCCAGGACCCTGAAATCGTGACCTGAGCCAAAGAAGGAGACTTAACCCACTGAGCCACCCAGGTGCCCCTCTCAAACCTATTTTAAATTGTGAATGTACTTCAGCTCTTCAGCCCTTGTTAAATAGAGGCGTATCTTTCTGAAAGAGCTCTATTGTATTATTAAGCCATATTTTATTAAATAATCTTCCAGAAATTTTAATTTCTAGTTTTTTCCTACTATTAAGATTGCTGTAGTGGCTCTGGAGTACAAAGGCATAATATAAAGAGAAACAGAAAAGGTCCAGAGAAGAAATAATTATAGTACAAAGGCATGAGTATTACCATTAAAAAAATCAAGGAGGTCACCTGGGTGGCTCAGTGGGTTAAAGCCTCTGCCTTCGGCTCAGGTCATGGTCCCAGGGTCCTGGGATCGAGCCCCACATTGGGCTCTCTGCTCAGTGGGGAGCCTGCTTCTCTCTCTTTCTCTGTCTGCCTTTCTGCCTACTTGTGATCTCTGTCAAATAAATAAATAAAATCTTTAAAAAAAAATAAAGGAATATGAATTTGAAAATCCACCCAGGATTCTTTGAAAAACTATTCAACTTCATTATAATCAATGAATTACAAAATAAAGCAATGAGAAGCCATTTTCCCCTTATTATATTACCCCAAATTAAGAAATACATATCCAGTGTTTTCCTGTTGTTCCGAGTGATACCTGAGTATCTTTCGAGGGATTTTGATGGGTGTAGTTTTTCTGCAGGATGGTCTGGCTTTATTAAAATCAATTCTAGGTTTGGAAATTTATCTTAAGGAAATAATTGTGCAGAGTTGCAATGGTGGTATAAAGAATGTTAATAACATGAGGTATCACTGAGGAGAAGAAAGCTAAGTGACTCTTAGAAGGGGATTTATTAAATTACAATTATGTTTGTGCTTTGAAATCTTACATTGCCATTAAAATGATGGTGTAAAAAAAAAAGTGATGGTGTCAACCTTCATTTGTTGCTATGGAGAGAAGCCTACAATTTTTTTAAGTGAAGAGTAGGTAGGGGGAAGTGTAGTTTCAACCCATTTTTATTTTTCAAATGAAAGTGTCTTCTAAGATCCAGAAAAATCCTGGTGAGCTAAATTCCACATCTAGCAATGGTTATATTTGTGTGTTGTGTATATATACAATCGTGGTAAACTTGATTTTCGTATTTATAGTTTTCTGTATTTTCTTTATTTTTCTTACAATGATTATATATCTCTTTTTCAGTTAAGAAAATAAAAACTGTTTAAGAAAATACATTCATTCTTTATGAAGCAGTAAAACCATTCCTTGCACTGTATTCCAAGTGATCAAAAGCAGACTGGAAATTATTCTCAAGAGTGTCCTCTTCCCCCAAGGTTCCCCATATCATTACATGGTGCCAGTTTCCCATCGAGCTGCGCAGGCTAGAAGCTGGATATCATCCTTCAGTCCTCTCTTTCACGTACTCAGGATATACGTACTCTTGTCATCTCTGCCTTCAGAGCATCCCAAATGTGCCCCCTTCCACTGCCATACTAGTCGCCTCCATCCAGTCTCCGGAGTGGCTGCTCTACCTCTGCCCTTGTTAACCCCCCACTGCCAGTGACAGCACATTTGTTGCACCTCCACCGTGATCCTCTTTAAACAAAACTGTCCTGTCCCTCCTAGCCCACAGTGATCCTCTGAAGAAATTCCAAATGTCTTCCATTATCGCCTGCGTGATATGGCTCCTGCGTACTTCTTTTCCTCACCTCCTAACACTGTCTTGTTCCCTCTTGCTCAGGCCACACTGGATGAATCTGGGTTCCTGGACAACTTGAAGCTGACTCTCACCTTACATTCTTTCTGACCAGAATCATATTTATACCCACGTTTTTGCACGGCCATCTCTCATTATTGAGAGCCCATCTTGAATTCTACTTTCTTATCACCCAGTTTAAAATGTCAGCTCATTTACTCATACTGCACATCACCTTGTTTTTGTTTTCCTCATTCTCATCACCCCCAGGACTCATCATCCCTAGTTTATTTCATCGCTGGGTCACGGTCAGTACCCTGCTGCTAGAATGTAAACCCTTGTGAAAACTGGATTCCTGCCTGATATGTTCCACATACTTCTGTTCTTGACCTTTGCATGGTGGCTACTCAGTAAAGAATTGCTTGAAAGAGCGAGGAAATGTCCATCACAACACCACATACGGCACTCAGAGGAGTTCCACAACAGCAGTTTTCACTTATAGCCCCTCTGCAGTTTCCTCGTGGATTTACCTTGAGTGCACCAGTGACTGACACAGGAAAGGGAGCTGAGGAGTAACACAACCCACTGAACTCAGAAGTGCTCTGTCCCCTGCTGACCCCAGCTTTGTTCCTAGAGCAGGCCTGGCTGCCCTTGTCGGAGGAGCTTTCCTTGGAGCTCACCCACATACAGCTTTCTGCAGACCTCTCCACCCAGGCATGTCTCCCATGCTGCTGCTTTCTCTTGCCCTTCTTTCTCCCCATCCTTTCTTAAACATCCAGGACGTATTTGTTAGCAATCCTTGTATATTTTGGTATCACTTTTCTTTATTCTTAGTGCAAGGGAGACTTACCTGTTTTGTTTATTTTAGGATGGGAACGCTTATTTGAAACTACAGTTTCTGAAGAAGAAAATCAGGAAGTAATGAATAAACTCCTAGGGGACGGTCCTTTTGACTTCAAGTTGGGGAAAGCCTACATAAATGAGGATAAGCTAGAGAAGCAACAAGGCAAAAAGAACAAACCTTTCAGGAAAGTCTTAGTCACCATCAAAAACACCTACATGAGGGAGAGGAGCTTTACGAGTATTGAGCTTGGGAAGAATCTCAGTCTGAAATCACCCCTTATTAGAAAACCCAGACTTGTTTCCAGAGGAAGGAAACCCCATTCCCAGCAGTATTCAGTTCTGTTTAAACAATTGGGAGTCAACACGGTGCGCAGATGTTACAAATGTAACATCTGTGGGAAAATCTTCCTCCACAGTTCTTCCCTGAGTAAACACCAGAGAATCCACACTGGAGAGAAGCTCTACAAATGCAAGGAATGTCGGAAAGCTTTCAGCCAAAGCTCTTCTCTCACTCAGCACCTGAGAGTTCACACAGGAGAGAAACCTTACATCTGTGGCGAATGTGGGAAAGCCTTCAGTTTCACCACATCTCTCATTGGACATCAGAGGATGCATACTGGAGAGAGACCCTATAAATGTAACGAGTGTGGCAAAACATTTAAAGGAAGCTCATCCCTGAATAATCACCAACGAATTCATACTGGAGAAAAGCCCTATAAATGTAACGAGTGTGGGAGAGCCTTTAGCCAGTGCTCTTCTCTTATTCAGCATCACAGGATTCATACTGGAGAGAAACCCTATGAATGTAGTCAGTGTGGGAAAGCCTTTACTTCAATATCGCGGCTAAGTAGACACCATAGAATTCATACTGGAGAGAAACCCTTTAATTGTAATGAGTGTGGGAAAGTATTCAGTTACCACTCAGCCCTTATCATACATCAGAGAATTCACACTGGGGAGAAACCTTATGCATGTAAAGAATGTGGGAAAGCCTTCAGCCAAAGCTCTGCTCTGATACAGCATCAAAGAATTCATACAGGAGAAAAACCCTATAAATGCAATGAATGTGGGAAGGCCTTCTCCTGGATTTCCCGGCTTAATATACACAACAGAATCCATACTGGAGAGAAACCGTATAACTGTAAAGAATGTGGAAAAGCTTTCAGTTCCCACTCAGCAGTTAATACTCATCGGAAAATTCACACTGGAGAGAAACCTTATAAATGTAACGACTGTGAAAAAGCTTTCAACCAAAGCTCAGCTCTCATTCAGCACCAGAGAATTCACACTGGAGAGAAACCCTTTAACTGTAAAGTATGTGGGAAAGCCTTCCGACAAAGTTCATCCCTTATGACACATATGAGGATTCATACAGGAGAAAAGCCTTATAAATGTAAAGAATGTGGGAAGGCTTTTAGTCAGAGCTCATCCCTTACCAATCATCAGAGGACTCACACTGGAGAAAAACTATGAATAAAACACATGTGGAAAGTCTTCCAACTGAAGTTCATTTCATACTCAATTTCAAAAAACTCGTCCTGGGCAGAAAGTGATGAAGAGTAGTTAATTGTGAGTTAAACTTCAGAATGTAGACCTCCTCAGACATCAGAGACTTCATGATGCAGGTAACGTTAAGTGTATTAGGAAAGCTACTATGAAATGTTTTCATAGTTTTTAAGTTATCATGGCTATAAGATTGAGAATGTGTAAGATTCTTTTATCTTGTCCCTGGTGACGTGTGATAAGAGCCCCCAGCTTTCACAAGCATCACTGGGAAGCCTGTTGATTTATGTAAAAGTGCAGCCATAAAATCCAGACTTTAGATTAATCTAGGAATCTATTTTTTGAAATGACATTTGAGTGTTATGCAAGCCAGTTATACTAAGAAGAATGTTTTGGAGAAGAAATATAAGCAGGTGACCTGTAGCTACCTCACTGTCGCTAAAATATGTTAATAGTTTAAAGGCAAAACGTGTACTTGGTGGTTGTGAAAACTTTTGGGGTTATTTCTTCTTTGCTTTCCAAGCCATTTACCTGAAAAGAAAATCACTCTGTAAACTCTGTAGGCACATGGTCCTGTGTTTTCTCCTTAACAACTTGTTCCCAGCTCTGAAGCAGATCTAAAGCCACTTTATTTTAAATCACAAAATGCATGGTATTTCACTTGGTTTTATCACAAAGTGATTACCTTTGCTGCGTGAGGTTGAGAATTAAAGGTTATTCAGACAACTATTGCTTTTGCGAGTTACTCCACTGATAAATGTGAGTGATGATCTTACAGTATAAGATGGGAGTGTGCCTCTTGGCACCCAGGCTGTGCCTCCTTCATTAAGCTCTCCGGTTACCATCCAGGAAGGCCCAGGAAGAATGTGGATCACCATTCATCCTAGCTGAGGTAAAGTGAACCAGGTAACTTTCGCTTCCTCCTACACTCTGAGGGCCACAAGATAGAAATTCAGACTCTTAAGTTCAGTAAATGGGCTGTTAGATACTTCAAGTTAGCACATTTCTGCATTTCTAAAATGTGAATAATAATTCTGGCAAGGTAAAAACAGCTATCTCCCAAGTCAAACTAAAATTGTTGAACTTTACAGAAGCAACAACCTCTAGTGTTGTTCAGTATCAACTGGAGTGGGCAAGCACTTAAGGACTAAACTACCTATTTTATTTAAAAAAGGGGGGGGGGACTAGTTTCTTTTTCTTTGTCAAAGAGTTAAAAAAAAATAACCTCAGAAAAGGTACTATTGGGGGTAGGGACTGAGCTGAAGCCAAAAATCATTGAATTCAATGTTTGCTTCCTGGGACCAACTAATCAGTTTTACTGTTCCAGACTCATGAGGAACAGACTTTTCTGAGTCATGTAATCTTCCACTGCAGTGCCTCTTTCCTCACAACCATTCTTTTAAATTCTCTAATTTCTGGGAAAATTTCTAGGAAAACATAACTTCCCTGTCTTTGTCCAGTTAGGTTGCCATGATAAAGTACCACAGCCTGGGTGGGTTCTCAACTACTGAAATTTAATTTCTTACAGTTCTGGAGGCCGGGAAGTCCAAGATCATGGCACCTACATGGGTGTGTTTGTTCTTGCGAGGATCCTCTTCCTGGTTCCTAGCCAGCGCCTTCTTGGATCCTCACATGGTGGAAGGGGCGAGGGAGCTCTGAGGCCTCTTAGGAGGACACTAATCAAATTCATGAGCCTCCATCCTCATTATAGTCACTTCCCAAAGGCCCCACCTCCTAATACTATCACCTCTGGGGTTAGGGTTTCAACAAGAATTTTGAAGGGGCACATGTTTAGATCATCATACCTCCCAGTAACAGTATAGTCCTAAAAATAATCCCCCCAAATAAATCTGAATAAAGTTACACAAAGAAAATATCAGGCCCAGTTATTTTTACATTGAGGTCTCTCAAACTTGCAGGTGACAGGCTATTTGAGTCTGATGTGGGATCATCCAGAGGTGATCGTGTGCAAGCACAATGATTCCAATATAATCCGGTACCAAGATCTGACAAGGAAAGTACAAGAAAGAAAAAAAAAAAAAACACAGGGCCGTATCATCCAGGAACAAAAATGTAAAAATCCTACTAAACAAAGCAAATGTAATCCAGCAGTACCTCAGCATAGTTCATACATCATGATAAATGGAAATTTTTCATGGGAATGGGTGGGTTACTTAGCATTAGGAAACTTAACAGTTGCTGTGTACTACTGGAGCAGGTTAAAGGTACAAAATCCATACCTTCATCTCAGGGCTGACAAAGCAACCAAAACACTCAGCACCCATTCATTGTAAAAACTTAGTAAGCAGTGGAAAGTTTACTTAGCCTGGTAAAAGGGTATTTACCAAAAACCTGCAGTAAAAAAATGTTAAACTATTAGAAGTAGTCATATGACAGGAGCAGTATAGAAAAATAACAAATTATTCAATAATGAATAATGGCTCTGAGAAAAACATTTCATCCACATAGAAGAAAAGTTGGATGCCTACCCTCACCACAAAAAGAATTCTGTGAAAGACAAAATTGTATACCTTTTGGAAGAAGATGTAAAGAATAACTTTATGACCTCACAATAAGGAAGGATTTTTTTAAAGCAGAATACAAATAAGCCATGAAATCTTTTTCTATATTTGCTCACATTAAAAAAAAACACCTGGTTATCAAAATATACGAAAATGGAATTGAAAAGACATAAAATAGATCTCTCCACATTTTTTGACAAACACTTATTGTCTGGAAGGTTTAAATACTTTATACAAATCAACTTAAAAAAAGAAAAAGACAACCTTGTAGGAAAAAAAGTGTTCTGAATACATGACTACTTCTTTCACAGAAGAGGAAATAGAGATTTCTAAAAACATGAAAAGTGCTTAAAAATGGAAATTAGGATCACAGAGAGGATTTTTTTTTAAGATTTTATTTATTTGACAGAGAGAGAGATCACAAGTAGGCAGAGAGGCAGGCAGAGAGAGAGGAGGAAGCAGGCTCCCTGCTGAGCAGCGAGCCCGATGCGGGGCTCGATCCCAGGACCCCGAGATCATGACCTGAGCCAAAGGCAGCAGCTTAACCCACTGAGCCACCCAGGCGCCCCCACAGAGAGGATTTTATGAAATTTTATGACTTTTTAAATAGATCTTATTTTATTTTTTAATTTTTGTTTTGTTTTGTTTTTTAGTAGGCTCTGTATCCAATGTGGGGCTTGAACTCACAATTCCATGATCAAGAGTCACACACTTCATTGACTAAGCAAGCCAGGCACCCCAAATTTTATGATTTTTTTTTTAAGATGAGTAAAAATGAAGATGTGTGACATTACTGAGTTTTGGAACGTATGTGGAATAACTGGAATCCATTCTCCACTAGTGGGAGTGTAAATTGATATAGACCATTGGCATCCTGTAAAGTTGAACTTGTGCATGTCATCAAACACAGAAGTCCCACTCCTATGTACATATGATAGATAAATGTGTGTATATGAGTGGCAAGAGACATGTATAAAGATATTCTTAGCAGCACTGATCGTAGACACTGATGTTTGGAAGTAGTCTGAATGTCTGTTAATAGGAAAATGAATAATTTTGAAATATTAATAATGTAGAGCAGCAGTGAGAATAAGTGAACCAAAGCTATAAGCAAACTGATGAATTTAAAGGCCTGTTGACTTTTCAAAAGTCATAGGAAACAACATATGGTATAATAACAAGTTCTGCGATATTAAATTAATTTTAAGTGATTTATACATATAGTAAAGATACTAAAAATAGCAAGTGACTGAAAGATAAGATAGTCTAGCTATCTGTGGCAAATTTAATGGCTTAAAGCAACAATTTTTTAGTACTGTTGGTTCCATATCTGGGTTCAGTTGGGCAGTTCCTACTTGGCGTCTTTAATGCATTTGCAGTCAGAAAGCAGCTGCCACTCACCTGGGCTTGGTGTCCAGGGTGGCTGACACGCAATGCTGTCTGCTGCTGAGACCCCAGTTGGGCTTCGCACAGAAGGGTGCCTGCTCCTGAGAGGCAGTGTCCCCAGAGCCAGCACCCTAAAGGATCTACATTGAAAGTGCCGATCTTAGAACTCAGCTTTGGAAGTCATAGGACATCAATTCTGTATTCTCTTGGTGAAAAATGGTTTATAGATGTGGTCCGGATTCAAGGGGAGAAGGTGATACAAGGATGTAAATAGCAGGGTTATGGTTCATCGAGACGATATTTGGAGACTAGCTACCATACACACACACAATTCAGGATGGTGATTATCTCTGGCTGTGAGGCAAGGAAGTGACTTGGGGAGGAGCCTGGGGTTCCTCAGCTTGCCTGATGCCTGAGAGAGCCTGCCTTCCCAGGAAGAGGTTACCCAGGCCAGCCAGAATGAGGATCAGGAGGAAGGCCAGTGTGTATATCAGTAAAAATGATTAAATAGAGTTTTTTGCCCCAACTCTATACTGGGTCATTTAAAGTAGGATAAAACAGATCTTACTGCCTGATCACCCTAGGTGAAGTGCACATCAAGTTTAAGAGGTTGTATTCAAGGGCCATTTCAAGGTCATAACTTTAAAAAAAAAAAATCTATTTATTTTAGAAGAGAGTAAAGAGAGCAGAGGGAGGGGCAGAGTGAGAGGGAGAATCTCAAGCAGACTCCATGCTCAGCAAGGAGCCTGACTCGAGGCTCAATCCCCTGAGATCATGACCTGAGCTGAAACCCAGAGTCAGGTGCTCAACCAACTGTGCGCCCAAGGTCATAACATTCTTCTGGCCACTACTGAATTTAAACATGCCTCCTCAACAAAACTATGAACACCTCCCTTTCCTGTTTATACTTTCCCTTCTCATTCATCTCCCTAGATCACCAGATGAAGAGAGATGGTTCCTATCCCAAGTCAGGAAACACATACTAAAGTAAAAAAATGTGCATAAGAGGACTAGGCAGAAGAGAACACTATCCATTTTTATACCTTTCTAATGGGCCATT